GGCTGTCAGTACTACACGACGCGCCTCTCTCACTCTCTCTGCACTGTTAAAAAACTGATTACCATCAACTGAACTAAAACACAACAGTCAAAACCCTTTCCTACCATCATTAATAATCACCATCATCATCTTTGTGCTTATGGTAATCGGAAAACCTCACTCCACACCTTATTATGTGGGCGTACGTCCGTCTGGCGCACTGTTAACTGACAAGTGCTGGGGCGGTTCTAACAATCGGGGTCTTCCTGACATTTCCTAATGTTGTACCTTACAAATTTTCTTGGCGATCGCGTGAATTTTGTCTTCACTTGTTGATGTGAGTCGTGCATAGTTAGTGATGTTCGGTAATTTATACAGTATTGCATGACGAAACATCTTACTTGAAAAGCTAACCAAAAAAAAAAATCATAAACTGCTGCGGAAAAAATGTCAGTCAGGTTAGGAAAGGTAGTGTACAAGGGTGAGTAAACTTGGCCAACAAAAACGTACAGTACAAGCATCAGGTGTCTCACTTTGGGTCGCCTACTCTATTCCCTGGATGATGAGCAGCTGTCTGTAACTTAGGTATATTATAATGCCCTTAAAAGTAACAGCACAATGGTCAGTGACTGAGGCTAACCTGTACTATACAATAGGCAAGAAGAACAAAAGAACAAACACTTCAATGATAACTAACAGTGCTAGTGGATCACAGAACAGACAGACAGACAGATATTTAAAAAACAAACAAAATTTTCCACACATCGTTAAGTCCAACACCAGTAATGAACACCCTCGAGTCAACACACTACGCAAGGAAACATCTGCTGGATTACCTGAAAATTATTCTCCCAGCTTAATTCACTTGAAGATTAAAAACACCTTAACACTTACCCGGGGTGCTTAGGTTAAGCTTGAGTGTTTAATCCAGCAGTGAAATAAGCTGTATACGTTAATCTTCACGTTATCAAATAAGAGTCTTAAGTAATTACCCTCTTACAATTATTATTTCAAGATGTTGTTAGATGCTTGAACCGTGGAGAAAGCCGCCAGGAGAAGCTAAATATAGCCAGATAAAACCTATTAAGTTACCACACCTGGCGCCATCTACCCCAGGCAGAGTAGCTCCCTGTTAGCTGCTTGTGTGTGGAGTAATAACATCACCTGAAGATTAGACACCCCAGCTTATTTCACCTGGATATTAGACACCCCAGCTTATTTCACCTTAAGGTTAACTTTCCTAATGCAAACCTAACCTACCCCCCCCCAAGTAGCGTTGGGGTGGTCATTCTTCAGGTGAAATAAGCTGGGGTGTTTAATCTTATTGTGAAATAAGCTGAGGTGTCTAATTTTCTGATGGACTAAGCTGGGGTCTCTAATCTTCTGGAAATAAGCTGGGGTGTCTAATCATCAGGTGATCCGAGAAAAGCTAAAGCTAACATAGAACTAATCACTGAGTAGCACACACTGAGCTGGACTTGCTAACAAAAATGAAAGAAAGAAATGAGAACAAATTCGAGTGTGTCCAGGAAAGATGATGGTAGTGATGGTGTGTGATGATGACAGTGTGGTGCAGGCAGCAGTGATGGTAATGGTGTTTTAGAAGTTGTGGTAGGGTAGTAGTAGATATGATTGTGCCGGCGGTAATGGACTTTAAATTCCACTGAAATTCTGTAGTCATTACCTTCGTTATCATAATTTTACTGAGGAAATGTACAGTATAACAACTAATGTTTGATAATCCGTCACCAAGGTTAGGGAAATAATTATATACAGTACAGTATTTTCACTCGAGAGCAAGGTTTAGTGGCTGTTATATAATAACAATAATAATTATAATTAACGAATCCAGGTAAAAATGTCAAAAGAGGTGAAAGAGACAAAATTAACTCATTGTCCTGATATCTCTATAATGACCCAACAAACAAAAAAAAAGTACTGTAATTCGTATTCGTTAGTAGATACACATTCAAGAGTATTAGACACACTTAACAGCCTACATTGCCCTCGCAGAACCAGGTCACCAAGTCACCCCCAGCTGTGAATGAGGAAGTGGCCTGAAATAACCAGTGGTTATAGCTGTATAAGACAAATCAAAGAGCCACTCAAGTTAAAACCTTCCAGAAATACATAGGAAGTGACTTACCTTGATCCCTGTCAGTCAACATCCACCATTATACATTTATACAGGTCTATAGTTACCACAAACTCTTAAACAAGCTAACACTTAATGACAAACACTGTCTTTAACCACCACTGGACAGAGACAACACTAATGGACGGGTGACTTCTGTCCACTACATAACTGTGGTAGGACAATCATAATCCACCACAAGTAAACAACCTCTGGGAAATAAAATATAAATGATGTTTCTATTAGCAGTTTATGAGTCCATTAAGTAGTTTTTTATATAGTCCCAAGGTGAATATGGTGTGCCTTATAGTTTTGTGATGATACCTGGCAGTGGACTCTTGTATGGTATTGGGGATAACAGTAGGGGGGTACTGGTAACTTATTACAAGGGGTTTCCAAATGAGGAAATTAAGCACATTATCTTGCCATATTAGAATTGAGAGTTAAGAGTCACACATTCTATTGGTGTGGAAAACTTTGGCACTTGACATTGGTACCACCTTTATATACTACATGAATATTATTACAGTTCCTTAAGATATTGTATGTACACGTATTTGGAATGAAAGTAGGAAAGGAAACCATAGTTAATAAAGTCAATGTACTTGATAGTTTAATAAATACAACACTGTACTGTAATGTGCAGTACTGTAAACAGGAAGATGTGACTGAAAAGGCAAGTAGAAAAACAATGTCATGGTTTAGATGATATACCTTAATACAATGCTGTACAGGACTGGCTGGTTAATGAACATTTTTGTGATATGAAGTAAAAACAAGTCCACACCTCTGTTGGCTCGCTACATCCCCTTTAAATGGAAAACTGATCCTGTGACGTGATTCTGTTCAGGGGTCCACCTGTGAGGGACCCTCTGGGCCCCCTCCCTCATGTTTAAGTCCCCCTCTCCATAGCTCAAGCACATTATTGAAGTAGAAAGGACTGTACTGAGCTGCACTGAAATTAAACCACATCTTTACATGATTTCTGCTTTAAAGGGCAATCGTATTTTTTACATTACTTGTTAAATGTCATATGTTTAAGAATGTATCAGTGTTGCCAGTGTTCAAAGTTACTTGCTTATGAGGAGATTATTATAACACCTGAGTGTACAATGATAGCCTACACCTTCCTTTTAAGCTTGATGCTTGTTACTCCCCAGTAAAAACTCTACACAAAACTGTTAAATATTTAAATTTTGTTCAGTACTGTATATCCAAGACAATAATTTTGGGTAAACATTATGTTTCAACTTGGTTGTGGTGAAATAAGATGTGAACAAGCCTTAAGGTAAGTCAAGATTTTTAATTTGTTCATACAGAGAACAACACTGTCCTACCCTATACAGTATGTTACTGTATACAAGGCAACCATATATTGAAGACATGGTTGGAAATTTTTCCTTCTTCATTACATTGAAGATTCGTCTTATATAAAGTGAAGAGTAATATAAAACACTGAACCTTTATTCTTCAATTAAACCACAAGAATAACACCCCAAATATAACTTCAACGTTATCATAAATACCTACCGCACATTAACTTGGTAGCTGTTAGTGGATTAATGTAAGGTAGAGAATCTTTAAGGTCAAGTGGCTGAGAGGACTGTGTTCCCACCTTGGGATCTGGAGGCCCCAGTTTGAACCTCACAAGGACAAGGTCAAAGTAATTGTTTAACCCATGGTCATTGACTCCTAAGGCCAGGGGTGTCAAACTCTTGCTATAGTGGGCCATAATAATTTCGTGGTATTAATCATTGTGGAGATATTATCAATACAGTATACAGAAAACAATAATACAAATTCTAGAGGTAAGTAACATTTCAGCTTCAATGAAATAATTGTCTGGTACTGCTGCTTCCTGACACCTGGCACCTCCTAGTTTGGAACATTGTATCAAAGTTTGGAGCAAATGACTGGTGGGCTGAAACAACCTTGAGTACTGAATTCAAGTGTGTATCAATAATTTATGACCACATTGTATACTCTACCAGTACAATATTTTTATTAATGAGTTCAAAATGATACTCAACATAGTTTTATTCCATATATTACAATATAGAATATTTTAAGTGTAAGTGTTAGTTAGGAGAGTACAGTAGCGGCTCATGCCTTACGGTGTTGCAGGAGCAGCCAGTAATCTGCTGGCCGGATACATGAGTGTGGTGGGCCTTACATTTGACACCCCTGCCCTAGGCACATAATTATGCATTAGGATATAGGTAGTCTTCTGTCATGGTTAAGAGAGAGAAATTCGTACCTATCTTTGTACTGTATGTTATACATAGCCAAGCTAAACTGGTTTTCTCCTGTTAGGTTCTGACAGGAGAATAATGGAGGTGTGACATTCTCTATACACTTGGCAAATTATCGGAGAAATAATATTTCTACATCGTACAGAGTCATAAGTACAGTAGTACTCCCCTTCAGCAGTACAGTACTGTGCTGTACTTCAAAGGAGGTCAATGCTCCCGCACTACTTAACCCCTTCACTGTGGGAACATCACTTTTAATATTTAATTGGGTTAACGCCAGACGATTTTATTCAGCACAGAGAGACCCTGTACACAAGGGTAACAAAATGTAAATGTACATGGATTTTACATCAATATGTTTGTGTGCGTGTGTGTGTTAACAAGGTAGGTGTAAAGTTCCGTAAGCCTGTAAGTGTTGGGTCACTATTTTACAGAAACTCTCATAAAACAATGTACAGTATTGTAGCTATGCCGGTAATAATCCACTTCTGTTATTTTCCTTCCATGATCTGGTAGAATTTACAACACTGTTCCAAAAACACAATGATAACAATGATATTCATTATGAAATATAATTACACTGTTTACTAGTCTTTATTGTTCATGTTCTCTAATCATATATCATTTTATTGCAGGGATCAGTGGAGTCTTCCAGTAGCCAGCATGGTGTCAAGAGGCATTTTTCTGAGCTCAGCCCAGACAGTCCTCAGCCACAAAGCCCCGGTACACCCGAAGCTGCCAGAAGGCCTAAGAAAAAGAGGATAGCAAGCAGGCCATCCCCAGACCAAGATACAGACACAGATGAAGAAGAAATAGCAAAGAGAGTATGCTTGGAGTGCCCAGCGTCATCAGATACAGATTGTGAAACTACAAGTAGTATCAGGGGGTCATATGCATCAAGACGAAGACGATTCTTGAGAACAGCTCAGGTGTGTACTGTGTGTTTTACTCTTACTACAGTATTAAGTCAGTTTTAGAGCTGGTTTTGGTGAGATCTTAAGTCACAACCTCCGATGTTTTCTACTATAAATACCAATACAGTAGTACTATACAAATGTGATAGAATTACAGTATAATACAATATTTCGTACTTTCATAATGTATCCTGTACTGCACACTTTATTAATTTTTCATGAGAACTTTTCCATTATATCCCTACAAAATTTTTTAAGATTTAAGTTAGTTTTTTAACAAACCTAACCTAATGTACTGTATGGTATTGTGCTGTACGTACAGTAGTTCATTTATCATATTTGTGCAGCTAAGTAAAAGATGTCCAGTACAGTACATGCCAGTGGCATTACTGTACTCTCGTGTTTCTTTTAAACAAATGTGGTCTTTTGACGGGTTGACCTCATATTTACTGCGCAGGGGCAGATCCAGGTATGTCAAGGGGGAAGGGGGCACTATAATCCCCCCCCCCCCAAAAAATTTTTTTTTAATCTGACCAGCATCACGGGCATTTTGAGGTCATGTGCACTTGATATTAGGATATATTCTGAGGTCAATAGCACTGTAATTACTTTTACTATACAAAAATGCCTGATGAAAGGAGGGTCTAGACCCCTCCCCCCCCCCTGCTGGTGGTTGTAGTGATATCCCCGTTAGCTGGAACAATTGGTGCAGAGCACATCCAGGAATGAGAGATTTCCGGGTAATGAGACGACTCCCTCAAACACGGAAAAAATCCCCCATCCGTGGAATTTTTCTGGGTACTGGGAAAAGTTCCCAGAATTTTCTGGAAATCGTGCATTATTTCATTCTCGGAATTTACTTCCAGACCCAGAAATTTTTTGGGGGAGAGTTTCTGGAATTTTCCAGAATTACACATTATTTCATCCTCAGAATTTGTTCCCAGACCTGGAAAAAAAATTGGTGAAAGTTTCTGAAATTTTTCTTGGAATTTCCCAGAAAATGCACTTGACTTTCAACCTCGGAAAATCGTTCCCAAACCCAGAATTGAGATAAATTGTCCAGAAAATTTCCGAGCAAATTTCAGTTCTGGCTATTGGAGAGCTCCAGTTAAGAGGGGTTCCAGCTAACAGAGATACAGTACTGTACTGTATTACTGTTTTCATAGAAAAACAGGCATAGATGAATAGTGGTTTTCATAATAAAAGGGGGTTACATATGCATCCATAGCCAAACTCCCCTTCTGACCAAATTTTTGCACTGTAATAGGAATTTAATACTATTACAGTAGTGTACTGTACATGCAAATATTAATAAGCAGACATTGGAAATGTTCCTACAGTAAATGACAACATATACTGTGCAGTACAATACTCACTGTTGTTTTCTGCATGAGGAGAGGTTGGTGTTAGGTTCTGTACTGTACGGGTAGCCAGACTAACCATTATTAGGTGGCTTGTTGCACACCAATCATGAGGCTTAATTTAAAAAAATCAATGTGGATATATTTGTAGATCATACTAATATTTCTCAGCATATTCATGAAGGGAAGCTGATGCAGGGTTAGCAGGTAGTGGCAGGGTCATGTTGGATGGAGAAGGTGGTTGCTCATAGGGGTACTGTACTATACTGCTGCTGTAAGCTGGAGTCACAGATTGAGTGTGTTTGATGTCATGGTTACAGGAGGCACACCACTGACAGCTGGTGAAGTGGGCTTGAAAAACTGTATTAATGTGGCATGAAGGATGTTGCTCTTAAGTTTGAGTCGGGCAGTGTTGTTCCATCTTCACACAAACCAGTTTTCAGAAAATTTGCTTTTATCCGGGATTTTTTTATTGGCTTTACAAGGAACGGTCTGTGTATGGCAGCTAAGACCCAATAAAACCTGAGAATTCTGGGAATGGTTCACAAGTAATGGCATGCACTTAAAATCTCTGCATCATTATCACATAAGAAAAGTGTCAGTCAATCCTTTGCTGCTTTATTGCTTGGAGTAACCTTCTCATCCTTGGAAATGTATGTCCTGCTGGGCGAGTTGTCCGGTCTTCTCAGACTCTTCCTTGACACTGGGTCGTGCAGCTCGTTAACTTAGGGTGTGGTTGTTGTGTTGGCGACTGCTTCTACACCTTAAACAAGTTCAAGCCTAGGTGGCCCTTGGGCCGGCCATCCTCGTTACACGAGGGGCAACTATTATTATGCTTCCAGTACGATTTTGTAGCATCAACATCAGATACAGTACTTGTTGTGGTATATATCCTCAGCTGTCACCAGAGGACCTTTACAGCAGCAGCACAGTCAACACTGGCAGCCCCAGCTGTTAATTTTATGTTGTTGAGAGCTTGATGCTCTGTAACCTTGTCAAGCAATCCACTACTTGTCAAAAAAGCTCAATTGTTTTTTATTCATATTGTTCTTTTCTTAGATGTTTACAGCTTCAGCACTTCTTCACAAGTAATTGCAGAGCTTAGGAGCACTGACCTTTGACTTTGGTGTTAGATCCAAATAATAAATAGTTTTTCCAGTTTTCTAACACCGGGTTCATTATTCTTGTCATCATTGTGGCTAAAAATATACAGTACAGTAGTTGCCAGTTTAACAGCTCTCCTAACTTTGTCAGCATTCCTCTTAATAGTACACATGCCCAACCAAGCCATACAGCTGTTTCACCATTTTCAAGAGTCTTCAGTGCAGTACCAGTATCTCCAACTTAAGAATACTGTAGTGAAGAGCACAGGAAATACGAGGTAGTTTAGAGAGCCAAACATATAGGGTACTGAGTCATAGATTTGACTTGGAAAATTACCTTCTGCTAATTTTGTCATTTGAAAGTGATTCTTATGATAGAACGCTGATAAAGTGTATAGGGAGGAGAGGTGATAAAGAGAGCCAGAATGATGGAAAGGCAACTAAGTGAAAGATACCGTGAGAATATGTGATAGAAGAGGTTATTGTACTAAAAAAATTGTAGAGGAGGGCTGCAAAGTGCTATGTTATGGTCACACTTTTCTAGAGAGAACGAGGCATCACTAGTTGTTCATGTGTACCTGCTAACCTCTCACTAGTTGTTCATGTGTACCTGCTAACCTCTCACTAGTTGTTCATGTGTACCTGCTGACCTCTCACTAGTGTTCATGTGTACCTGCTAACCTCTCACTAGTTGTTCATGTGTACCTGCTAACCTCTCACTAGTTGTTCATGTGTACCTGCTAACCTCTCACTAGTTGTTCATGTGTACCTGCTGACCTCTCACTAGTGTTCATGTGTACCTGCTAACCTCTCACTAGTGTTCATGTGTACCTGCTAACCTCTCACTAGTTGTTCATGTGTACCTGCTAACCTCTCACCACTCTCATCTTGTCAACAGGTTTTGAGACAGTCTGGGCTGCTGAATATAACCATGAAGACGGCAGAACTGCTGCGCAAGAACCAAGTGTTACAGCGAGAAATTGAGAACTTGCAGAGAGAAACCAGAACATTTGTTCTATCAGTTTTGTCCAACCCAGAAAATCGTCATATTCTTGACAACATTCGCTCTGGGGCCCAGTTGTATGAGGTGAGTACTTGTCATGTGAAGAAGCCATTGTCAAACATGATGAACAGTATGCCATTTTTGGTCATCAGTAACAATATTCAATATGTGAATCACCAACACACTTTATACTCTATTGTAGATACTAACCACAGAATAGTCACCTCTTCCTGTGTATATACTTATATATAATTACTGTATGTTCACTCCCCCAAAAAGTATCTTTACGGGAGGTCCGATGAATTTCAAAATGAACACGGTGACTCCTGTTGTCTCGGAAGGGTTGTCAAAATCCCTTTCCTGTTGTGTCATAATGTCTCACAAAATTGTAAGATACTTTTTGGAGCAAGTGTACACAATGAAAAAATCCTGGGATTAGAAAAAATGAGTTTGTAGTGAGGGAGAACATGAGGTAGATAAATAGATAAGGGGATTTAAATGTTGAAGCATATAAGGTAAACAAATACAGTAGTATATAAGAATTAAAGTACAGTACAGTATTGTGAAGTTGTGGTTTCTTATGATTTATTTATATGATTTAATTGTTTGCTAAAGTTTTCAGTATGTTGTGTGAAGTGCATGACATTGTATTTAAACAATTTAAAGTATGTCGGTAATATCTCTGTTAGCCCGAATCCCTCAGACGCGGAACTCTCCGATTGCCGGAATTAAATTTTCTCGGGGATTGGGGAGCTTTTTCTTCCGGGATTGAGAGATGAAAATCGAGCAAATTTTCCAGAAATTCTGAAAACAGGGAATTCCAGGGATGGTGGACATTTTTCAGGAACTTCCGAGAAATTTTTCCGTTAATTTGAAAATTCTGGGGATGAGGGATTTTTATCCAGCTTTGAGAGTCGTCTTATTACCCGGAAATTTCTCATTCCCATAAGTGCTGTGCACCAATTGTTCCGTCTAACTGAGATATAACTGTAATACAATTTCTCACACAGGTCGTTGTCCCCGGCTCACAGCGCATCATGTCAGTCTCCACTCATCCCACTGATGTTAATATGAACTCGGCATCTTCAACCTTGTCAGATGACATGTCCAACGATAGTATATCATCACACAGCAATATGTCGTCACCCTCACCACCCCCTACGGTTTCAAGCTCATCTGACGACGCCTCCTCTTTATCAGATGACATTGAGTCATCAGAAGAAGAGAATTTATCCCCACCAAAAAGTGTGTTTAATTCTGAGCATTAGTCTCAGGTCTCAAGTGTATCAAAACAGCAGACAAATAGAACAAAACAGTACATTAAGTTATTATCAGTCACTGAGTAAGATTGGCTTGAACAATTATATACGTACTGGATTTTCTGAAAGACTACTACAGTGACATTCAACAGTGTACTGGACGACTTCTTTCATATAAATCCATTGGTTGTAAATCTTGGATGATGGAAAACACTTGAGGGTTTTTCTCTCACTGATTGTGATATGTTTATTTGTGCATTTTTAACTTATTTTGTGGATGCAATGGACACTTAGCAATACACACCCTTTATTCTTGAGGTGTTTTAACAGGCACAACTGAATGCTGTTTGACTTCCCATATTCCATTATTCTCTTAGGATTGGTAAAAGTGTGAGATGTAACACCAGAAGTTTTAGATAGTGCATGAGTTAAGAGCAGAATACATTCAGCCAACACAGAATGGCATTCAATTCATTCCATATGGAAGTTAGGTGGTGTTAGTGAATTACCAACTCATCTGACTTCGGTAGATGAACCAAAATTGCTATGTTTGCAGAGCACTGATTTTATTTTGATGTGATGAATGAAATTACAATTGGCTGCATTAATATAATTTCTGTTACATCTGTTTGATCTTTTTTTTTTGGTATGGAAATTTTCGTCATTTTTAAATAGCTCAAGTAGTTCCTAATACAGTACAGTATTTCTAATTTATGAGTTAATTTGAAGTCTCCTTTTCAGTTGTCAAGTAATGCATAGATAGTATTTGTTACTTTTTTTGTACATTTGTTTTCTCCAAGACATTTGACCAAGATTTTTTAATATGAGACAAAATGTATGATTTTATAAATATAAATTTCAAACCCATAACAGTACATTGCTTTCACTCAGAGCTTCATGATCAGGTTGTGCATGTATAAAGGGAGATTCTTTCCTGGTTAATAGTCATCAAAATTGAATCAGCTGCTGCATGAATTGTGAAATAAGAGGAATGTTTATGGTATACAGTAAACCCTTGCTATTTGCCCCCCGCGAATGGTGCGAATAGCAACTTATACTACCTTAGTGCACTACTGTATACCTATAGTGTGTATGAGAAACTTAAGTCACCAATACTACTCTCCTTCATATTGGAAGTTTGGAGCTTGATGAAGTGTATTGTAAAGTAGAATGAAACCTGGTTACTGAAGCATAGGGAGATCATCAGGAGCACTGTTGGAAGAGGGTGATGCAGTGGTGGTTGATGGAAAGGCGGGTGGTAGAGAGGCGTGGCTGGGAGGTGGGTGGTAGAGCAGCAGCTGACTGAGTAGGTAAGCGAAAGAAATCAGCTGGGCGAGCTGCTAGTTCATTCTTGTAAAACATCGTGATTGGTAGTTGTTTCCTCTTAGTTTTGATGTTTATAAATGTTTCACTCCACTAGCACTGACACTAGGCAGTCTTTTAGGGGCCATTTCACCCACAAACACTAACGATTTCAGTACAACACTAAGAGATGCTGCATCGCAGGCAATGTTTGAGCACAAACAAAGGGAGAGGAGACACTGCTTGCACGTGGGGGTGACTAGTTGCACTGCGGGCAGGCTCATAAGCTAGCCACCATCTGCTTACCGTGAATATTCAAAATCTCAAACCCACGAGTAGCAAGGGTTTACTGTACAGATATTTCTGATTTGCAGTTCATATAATGTGGGGTGCAAAAGTGTAACTTCGTGTGAGGATGTCCCTAGTGTGGTACTATGGTACAGTACAAGGATGTCCCCTGTATGGTACAGCACAAGGACATCCCCAGTATGGTACAGTACATTATGTGTCGTCCAGTTCCAGGTGCTCACATTCACTTAAAGACGTTCCACTCTCCGCAGCATGTTGAGTGAGAGTCTTGGGTTAATATTTATACTACATGTGATTCTCATTTCTAGCTGAAATATGGCTTTTATATTATTGTTAATTAGATGGGAGAAGCTTAACACAATTTACTCTGGTCAGATTTTACATATATCCTGTCTCTGATGTCTTTTATATTTTATGAAATTAACCATACCTAATTATGCTTCAGTGAACTAACTACATAGCTTACACAACACCTTTGTCATATATTTGCAAATGTCAACATTCTTTATGAGAAGCACATAGCAGTACTTCATCGTGTGTTGTTGTTTCAGTCTCCTGTAACACAGTTGCCCTACAGTCTTCATGGTACAGTACTTGTATACTGTACTGTATTTCTATAAATCATATGGGTTCCCACCTTGCACTTGTACCTTTAAAAGTATAAGTACCTTTTATAATCTTTTAGAACTCTCACTTCAGATTCCTTTCCATTGATATTATATGCAATTAAACATAATTTGACAAGACTGGAAGACATTCATAAGGAAGAGTTTTAGGTAGTTTGTCAGACATATGGATATTTTATTTTATATTTTTTTAAAGTAAAGGATGTCTGTTGTCTCATATTTATAACATACAATACTGGCATCAGTCTTGATTTCCCCTTGGAACTATTATGTAGTCTGATCAGGAAAATGGTCAATATATATTAGCCATGACATATTAATGAATCCCCAGATGTATTCTCAGAAGCAAGCATGATTTAGAGTTTGTTTTGTTGTGTCTCACCATAGATATAATTATGTCACTCTTCATATACACATTTGTTTAACGATGCGTACCAGTTTCTTTACACTGTACTTTCTTTCAAGAATTTATAATACTGTAGTAAGAAAGACACAAAATTTTATGAATAATTTTTTCACATTTTGCATTTCTGTCCAGTACCTGCAGTTGCCTTTTCCAATTATATTTTGATGACTCCTAAACTAACAATATGTTAGACATGAACTACAGCCACAAGCAGTGGATTGTTCACACAAAGCTGTCCTTTTCAATATGTATATGCTGTACAGTATAGGAATTGTTAAGCATTTTAGAAAAGATTAATCTGTGCCACACAGGAGATACCTTTGACTTATATACTTGAGGGGTGTGAAGAGCAGGAAAATCATCCCATTGGAAGTTCTAAATGATATCAGAGTTGTGTGTGACACCTTTTTGGAAATACAGTACTGTACTGTACAGATACGTCAATTTGATCTGATGTTACAGAAAAGGTTCCCTGGACACTGGTAAGAGTGACCAAGAGTTATACATTAATAAATTATTATCAACATACTGTTCAATATAGCCCATGCTCATGAAAAAGCATTTTGTTACAAAGATGTTCTTGCAGTATGTAAGAATGACTCAACTTTTAGTTGTGACCACTCGCCACCAGTGGGAAAAGGCTTACAAAACAAGGAAACCTAATTATATAACTGTTATTGTTGCCAATATATTTTTTCTTCTTCTAGTACCTTACATGATGAAGGTAAAGGGGGAGAACTACTCTGAAGGTTCACTACAAGTCTCCAAACATTAATTTGATACAATAAAGCTTTAGTAATTTGTAAAGTGTGACTCTGACTTATATTGAGATGAAGAACACTTTGGTGTGCATACTGCTGCTTGGTCTGTCATATGTCTTAACTTGGCATAAGGTGCAGAAAGGTCTATCTCTGGTGCTAAATGTGTGCTATCTCTAGGTTCATAGGACTGGACTCTTTTGCACTGAAACTCTCCACAAACTATCCTGGACTATCAGATGGAAGACATCTGATAGTTTTTCTTTCTGACATTATTTTAACAAAACTTAGTCTGATGTTTATAATCTTATAATTTTATAAATATTATTTTATATAAATGAAATCTTACCTGTACTGTATATGTTATTTCATCCTTTTAAGAATTAATACTCACAGATTGTATTTCTTCAGACTATTTGGTCTTCATGGTTTAAACATTCATTCACTGCAGATATCTGATTATTATCCAGATGTCTAATTAACTCTTGTCATTGCTTTGAAGTAAATCATTATGGTAAAAAGGATAATACTGAAGCTATCTTATGGACCTAAACTGTGCATTTACTGAAGAGATTGTGTAGAAAAAGTCCTTCTTACATATGAGCTTAAATGAAAAACTTTTGATAAAATATATATATATATATATATATATATATATATATATATATATATATATATATATATATATATATATATATATATATATATATATATATATATATATATATATTATTTCTCTTGGTTATAAACCAAATTAAGTAAGGAGTTTAGTCTTTGTGGTTCTTCAAATGTAATTTTTATTATCAATGATAATCATTCAATACTCTTAATAGATCATTTGTTCTGAAGGCAAACTGATATCAGTATGACCGACCTCCTTGACCTTGTGTTGGTGTCATCACTGTACAGTATTACCGGTAAAGTCTTTGTGATTGGCTTAAGTCTTCAACTAACAAGCAGAACTTACTAAAATTTAAATATTAATAGTTTGAAGGAGATAATTTAATGTGGCACTTCCATGATGCCAAATGTTTATCTTTTATCCCAAACACATGGAGTACAGTACAGTACAGTATAGTATAAAATAAGTTCAATAAGATGCAGTATAGTACTGTACATATGATTACTCTAACTAAAAGTTTTACCTACCAAGTTAACTTTGTATCTCATAATGGGACCACCTCACCTCACCTATTTACTGATGCAATTTTCATGCTTAGTTATAATAGTCATTTTACAAAACATGCTTCATTGTTCAGCAGCATTGGGTATGTTGGCTAAGAAATGCAGAATGTTGCCAAATGATTTTAAAAAGGTCAAACTAATATGTATAACACTGCATTTTGTTTCAAACATTTACAGTAATCTATCAGTCATAAAGAATACTATGGTTGTTTGTTACCAGTCTGTTGTCCATCACCACCATTGTTGTTGCTCATGAAGAGCCCCTAAAAACACATCGAAATTCTACAAGTCATTTTACTCTGTGGAATCTTGTTCATTTCCATAGTTAGGGATAGTGCAGTGTGTAATGTATCCCTTTCTTAGTAGCAACAGGGCAGTGAAGCCAGACATTAAGCATAAATGTGCTTATTATATTGATGGTCCACATTGTTTACTTCTGAATAATAATCAGTAATTTCGTACATACAAGGAAGGGTTTAAACCATATTTTCTTAAGAGCCGTAGACAGCAAGTTCATAATTATCTAAGGCAGGAAGTATTTAATAAGCCATTTATATTGTTTTTGAAGGCTAGACACAGTTAAGAATATAAAAGAATCACTTTTGACTGATATTTATTAAGTTTTCTTCATAACATACAGTACAGCTATTAGCTTTACTTGTACAGTTGCAGAAATGTGTTCCTACACCGCTGTGGTAACCTGTGTCTCCAAACAGCCATCCTATACAACCTTAAACCTATTCACCAATCATGTCGGTCATTACACGACCAATACCCATTCATTCATATACAGCAGGGGTCACCAAACTACGGGCCGGATCCCAAGTCCTTCCCCGGCTCGTGGTAGCTCCGCCTACGCTCTGACGTTACCAGAGCTTTCGTTCTGGCTTGCAAGTATTGAACAGAATGATTATGCGGCCCGCACTCGTCATTCTTTCAGTTATCCGGCCCACTGTGAAAAAAGTTTGGTGACCCCTGATATACAGTATAGTGATACTACTACTGCAACATTGCTGTTTGGAGACATGGGGTGTAGGAACACATTTCCCCAACTACCAAAAACACTGCACGAATAGCTTTCTTGAACTTGTATTTATGTTCTTCATATTTCTAAAAAGCTATTATGACAAATGGTCTATAATTCAAAGTTCTGTCTTGTTAATATTCTGCTCACCAAATTTTAAGTAGATTACAGTAGGTTGCATCATATGTGTCCATGTTGTCTCCTCTTGATGGGTACTACAACATATGTGTCCATGTTGTCTCCTCTTGATGGGTGCTACAACATATGTATCCATGTTGTCTCCTCTTGATGGGTACTACAACATATGTATCCATGTTGTCTCCTCTTGATGGGTGCTACAACATATGTATCCATGTTGTCTCCTCTTGATGGGTGCTACAACATATGTATCCATGTTGTCTCCTCTTGATGGGTGCTACAACATATGTATCCATGTTGTCTCCTCTTGATGGGTGCTACAACATATGTATCCATGTTGTCTCCTCTTGATGGGTGCTACAACATATCGTATCAATGACCAGTTGTGTACAGTATGTTACCTTCTTTAACTTAAACAAAAGGAAGAAGAAATATTGCATCCTCTACAGCTGTAATAAAGTAACCAGCACAAAAACAATTTAAGTATCATGTCTACTTTGACTTCTGTTTCTGTTAAAGCTCAAAATAGCAAATTGTCTTATATTATGCCCTATGCTGTTCTGTACAACCATGAAGAGGATATACTTTGGTGCTGACTCCTGTTGCTTCCTTTCATAGCATTAAGACAGTGGTGAAAGGTCCTTGAAATATGATAATCCTGTCCATCCCTTTTAATACAAATGTTTTAATTTGTAATACAGTAGGTAAATAAATTGAAAGACAAAGTTGTGTTGCAGATATACCAGACAGTTCTAGCCATCTCCAAAAATATTGCGTGTATCGACGACTGAGGGAAGCATCCGTGGGGGCCTCGTGACATGTAAGACTGGCACATGACGGGAGAGATTTTTCACTTGATTAGTTATCTATCTTTGTCTAATTTTTAATGTATCATTAATGAGATTGTTAATTGTGAATATAATACAATATTGTACAGTATTCATACAACTCTGAGGCACAGTGCTAATATGTCATTGAAAGTTGCTTTAGATTATTGTTTGTGCCATGCATACTTGTCACGAAAAACTCCTTGAGAAGAAATGTCTTCTTCACGACAGGATATTCTGAGAAATTATCTCTGTAAAAGTGTATAACTAAATTACTGAAAAGGAACTGTAATATTAAATACCTTGGTGCAATTTGTGTCATATGTTGTAAATTAGTTATTTTTTAAAATGAAAATGCTTCTTTTGTCACTGGTACAAATTATTTGTTGTAAATTATTGCCTGCATATTGTAGTTGTCCTTATTTTCTTTTGGATAATAAAATAAAAAGGAATTTATTGAATGCAGTATACTGAGTTTTATAACAATTTACTGATAGGTATTTTTTATTATTCTGTACAGATGTAAGAAATCAGGATCTGTTCTTATTTAATGTTGTTTACTGATTAAAGCGAGCGGATACAGCACTTGCCTCCTGTTCTAAGAGCAGGTGGTTTGATTCCCGGTGTTCCTAATTCACCCAGCTGAAAATATGTACCTACATTTACAACATGGGGGAGTGAATGCAGTCGAGTGCAGTACCGGCCATGCTGCCTCTTTGTGCTGTAGGCTTAGTATACAGTGAAGAAAGTGATAGTAGGTACGGTATATAAAGTACTGTAGTTTTACCTTGAGAAGTGACCACTGAGGGCCCCCATCTCATTGGACCCCCACTAAACTCTGAGGGGCCCTGGTGGTGCCCTGAGACCCTTTGCCAAAGAGTGGAAGCCTCCCCCTCTGAATGGTTTCATCAGATAAAATAAAGGGAAAGTTTGGTCTTTTTTGAAAATTCTGATAAGGGACCAAATGTAGAGGAGTAAAATGTTCCCAAACTTTACGATAAGACAATATAATTACACAGTGGATATTAACTGTAAAGTAAACCTAATATTATATACAATTAAATTATTAACATCATATACATTTAATTTATATTTTAAGAATCAATCACTAGAGACCCTGATTATAACATGAAGCACACACACACTATTGAAGGACAGAAATTTGAAAGATATTTGACATTTACAGATTCCTCTTTCTTCTGAGGATCCCAATTTAAATTCCTTTGTCAGCGGCCCATTAAAGTTGAAAGGGCAGCAGAAAAACAATAAAGATGGTGAATAATGCAGAACCATGTGAATATTACTGTAAATTCATTTTACCTCAAGAATAGCACCTGAATTTTGCCTGGGGGGGTTCGGTTAGGTTTGATTAGGATATGTTAGATTAGGTAAGGTTAGATTATATTATAATAAGGTAGATTAGGTTAGGAGAAATTAAAACGGTTAATCTTAAGATTTTAAGGCGATATAAGCTGGGGTGCTTAATCTTCATGTGATCCGTATACCATGGCTCATTGAAATACCTGTACAGTATAAACACTGAGAAAGATGGGAGAGAATTAGACCCTAAATCTGGTTATGTAGGCGATAGGGAGCTAAATATACTGAAATATGTAAATAGGAAGTGAAATGGAAGAATTGTTTCAGGAAGGTGAAAGACTGTAGGAGGAAGGAATAGTTAGGAAGAGGGAAATAAAAGGTCTGCATCTTTCAACTAAGAACTTTTAATCACACACGCTAAGCAATTCCATACCCTCGACAACAACTACAAGAAATCAAGGAAAAGTAATTATTTCAAAATTGGTTCATCTCCCCATTGTTTTTGGAAGGTATTAGGCTAGTTATTCCCTGTAGTGACGTCATTTCCGGCCCTCCAGCCTTCCCCCCACACCGCCATTGTACTGCTGACGTGAACAAGGTGATCCAAATTACTGTGGTGATTACTGGAGCTTTTAGGTAAGAGTACAAGTATTCTAGGACAATTATATTCATTTGGTTTAACACTCCACGAGCATAAGTTAGAGGTGTACAAATACAAGTGGTGTAAGGAGCACTTATAGGTTACTAAGAAAAGTTGTTAGATGATAAAGATATACCTAGAACTGGACTCCAAAATATTGTGGG